GACCAGATCATCTGGAAACCTCCTTTCCCTTGGACATTCTAGAACTCTACTCCTGGGTAAGTTTCATATTTTACAGAGAATGCCAACTTTCTCCTCCCCCTTCCCCTGAGGGGCACGTGTGGAAGGTGATTTCCTGGCATCTCCCTGGCCAGCCCACGCCCGGGGTCCCCGCAGCTGGCCTTGAGGGAGACCTCACAGCGGTCACCAAACCTGCTCAGGCACTTGCTCGGTCTCCTCAGATACCCGGGGAGGGAGTGGAGGAGAGGAGATGGAAAAACACATTTCCGCAGTTTAAGGAGACTCAGTAGGATGTAAACGTGGGCATCACTCTGCTGCTTTGCTTCAGAGACAACAGAAGGCCCTTAGGAGCTGGCTGCCCTGGCCTGGCCACATTCCTGCCCTTTGTGAATCTCCTGGGCACAAATTCTTTGCTTCCGGGGTTGTCTTCCCAAGCACTGAAAGGCCCAGAGAGCCCCAGGTCGCCTGCCACGCACCCTCCCTGAATTCCTCTGTGGAGTGGGGACAAGTTGTGAGCTGGCAGCGGAGTGCTGGGGCTGGCTCTCTAGGAGCTTGTGGGGCAGGGTCTGTGGGACAGCCACGAAGGGGCCACATGCGTGGGGTGTGAGGGCTGCTGCGGAGAGGGCATGTGCGTGGGGTGTGAGGGCTGCTGCGAAGAGGGCATGTGCGTGGGGTGTGAGGGCTGCTGCGGAGAGGGCATGTGCGTGGGGTGTGAGGGCTGCTGCGGAGAGGGCAGAGGGCCGTGTAGGGCCAAGGGGAGGCCCAGGAGAGGAGCCGTCAGCTGTGTCTTGGGGTGGGTGGCAACCTTTGGGCTGCCCACAGTGCCATCTTGTTGAGCTAGCTCTTGAAGCCCAACGGGCAGGAAAGTGTGTAGCAGACCGGACTGGCAGTGACCCAGGGGACATTTGATTGGAAAGCAGTCTGTGGGGACCAATGAGGAATGAGGTCAGGACTGTGTGAAGAGGCTGAGTCTTGTTTAGGGGACAGTGGATCAGAGGGTGAAAGTGGGGGTACCAGGTAGCCTCTGTGGCTGCCCACGTGGAGGGGACTGGGGGTGCCCCAGGGCATTTGCGCCTGGCTGGCTCAGTTGGTAGAGCATCCGACTCTCGATCTCAGGGTCATGAGTTCAAGCCCCACGTAGGACATGGAGCCTCCTTAAAAAAAAGGGGGGGGGATGGCATATCATTTCTCGTGCAGCAGGCGCCCCGATGCTGCATTTTAAATCCCAGAAGTCGTTATGAGTATTTTGTACAGTCAGTATTCTTTTAGATTTCCCTTTATATTTACTTTGTCTGATGCATTTCATTCCTTCTGCAATTCAGTGCTCCCATCTGAGATCATTTTCCTTCAGTCAGAAGCACTCCCCTTAGTATTTCTTGACAGATTCCCTGATGACCAGTTTCACCAATTTTGCTTTTTCTGGCCAAGGTTTTCTTTGAAGGCTATTTTTTTTTTTTTTTAAGATTTATTTATTTATTTGAGAGAGGGAGCACGAGTGCCGGGGATGGGAGGTTGGCAGAGGGGGAGAGAGAGAGAATCCCAAGCAGACTCCCCACTGAGCATAGAGCCCGATGGGGGGCTCGGTCTCACAACCCTGAGATCATGACCTGAGCCGAAATCAAGAGTCAGACGCTTATCTGACTGAGCCACCCAGGCAGCCCTCTTTGAAGGCTATTTTGTTTAGATTTATCATTCTGGTGTGACATTCTAATTACTTTTGGCATTGCCCATGTATCAACCCATTGTCTTATGGTTTCCATTGTTTCTGTCGAGAAGTCAGCTGTCTGTTTTAGGTTTTCCTTTGAAGGTCAGGTGTCTTTATCTAATTTAAGAATTTCTCTTTGTGTTTGGTGTTGAGTAGTTTGATAATGATTTGCCTAAGTGTGCTCTTCTTTGGAGCTTCTAGTGTTTCTTTAATCTGTGTGTGTCTTGGCTTGATGTTTTCCACTTATTTTGTGAAACTTTCAGTTATTATCTCTTTAAATATTGCTCCTGGGGCTCTCATTACATGTTATGTTAGCTCTTTCCACCATGTCCCATGGGTCTCTCATGTTCTTTTTTGTATTTCCCAACTTTTTTTCCTCTGTGCCTTGGTCTGGATATTTTCTGACTTAAGTTGCGGTTCACTAATCCCCCCTTTAGTTGTTCTAAACTGCTGTTGAACCCATTTATTGAACTCTTAACTTTGGTTATATTTTCAGTTGTAGAATTCCCATTTAATTAATTTTTAGTTTGAGATTCTCTGCTGCAGTTCTCCATCGTGTGATACACCTTCCTGAACTTTCATTAATTTCAGTTGTTTTATATTTCATTTCTAATCATTTTAATATTTGGATCTCCTTTAAGGGTATTTCTGTCTTTTTTTTTTTTTCTCATGGCTTTGGTAGAATCCTGGATATTGTGTATGAAAAGTCCTAGGGATAATTTGGCTTCTGAATCATTTATTTTCTTCCGGAGAAAATGTATTCCAGCTTCTGGCAAGCGGTTAGGCTACGGGTGCCCTCACCCACCCTCTCAGGACTGAGGAAGAGGCTTCCTTCCTCGAACTGATGCAAACTTCTGTCTCTTCAGCCCCATGGGTTGGCAGGAAGCTCTGCTTGGGGTCTCCGCTTTTCAACCTCCGCGTGTAAGTAGATGCTTTAAGGGAGAAGAGGCGCCCAAGGTCGGACTCACCTGTCACACTGCCCCTCTCTCCGTGATCGCATCCCCTCCGATCCTGGTTGCCTTGGTACTTCTCCAAGGCTAACAAATAGATTTTTTAAAAATACATCAGTTGTCAGGTTTTTAAGCTGTTTGCAGAAGCAGGGAGTTAAACCTTGGTCCTGTGTTGGAAAGACCAGGCCCCCGAGCAGAACCCAGTGTCCCCGTGACCTGCCCCAGAGACTCTTGCCCTTTGGCGGTGATAGCTGTGGGGGAGGGCCAGTTAATTAGGCATTAGTGAGAGGCAGTCTCTTCATTAGGTCTCACAGAGTGAAGCAGGGAGGGCTCGGACCTAGCTTGACACAGCTGGCAGACCCTCCTTGTTTACCGATGTGGAAACTGAGGCCCAGGATGGGCCAGTCCCACAGTGACCGGGACCCAGGTGTTTGCGACTGCTGGGCCCGTGCTCAGCTCCAGGGGGAGCAGGGGACAGTGGGCAGCAGGGCTGCTGTAGGGGCTGGGGTGCTGGGTGGCCAGCCCCTCTGGCCAGTGCTGTTGTTGCGCTGGCCTCTCCCCGGCCCCCTGCCATGGCCTCCCCATTCCAGCGTCTTCTGAAGCCTGGGCAGCAAGGGGCCCGAGGGTGTGGGCACTCGTTGCTGTTGCCGCGAGCCCTGGGTACAGTTCCCAGCGGCCTCCCCTCTCTCCTGCCCATTGCTCACAAAACCCTGGAGCTGGTTTCTGAGAGTGATAGGGTTTTTTTTCCCCTCACTAATCCCTGTAGTTTTTCTGTCCACACCCAGTTTCTCTTCTACTTTCCTCCCCACCCTGTTGTGAACGAAAGTCAGTGCACCAAATCATGCTCTGCTTTCCCTCGCGGTGCCTCAGTGGCATTTACCAGCAGGCCCGAGGGAGGCATTAGTGGGTAGAGGACGGGGGGTGTCCCTGCTCCTTGGAGGAAGCCTGTGGGAGTGGACGGCCGGCTTCCCCCATGTAGGCCTTGCCCGCACTGCCCCTCGGGGCCCTGGCAGAGAAGGGGGCTGGTGGAGCTGGTGAATTTGAGGACGATTGGCCTCAGAGAGCTCCCAAGCTCAGACCACTGTCACTTGGTAGGTGTGTGGCCACAGATCACCCGCTGCCTCAGCCCTAGAAAAGCGGGCTGCCCAGGGGCTGGGGACTTCGGCAGCGTTTTTGCCCGGCAGAGACAGGCTTCTGTAGGAGACGAACCGTGGGAGCCCTCCTGCTGGGAAAATGTGCCCTATCCTGGAGGCCCAGGATTTCTGAGAGGCCAGCAGTCCTTGAGGGGCTCCAAAGAGGTAGTGAAGGAGGACCCACACCCAGGCTCCCCTGGCTGGTGGGTCAGGGGCCACTTCTCCCCCAAGGGTGAAATGGTCTGTCCACTGTCTCTGGCCTTTAGTAAGCAGCACCCCTGCCCCCCCGGAACTGTCACTCTGCCACCCTGTGGGGTTAGCCAGGGCCCCTCCTCCTGTGGGCAGGCTTTTGGGTGTGGGGGTCGGGGTTGATGAGCTGCTGAGCCCGGGAGGCCCCAGCAAATGCTTGGTATGCCCAGCCCTGCCCGAGGAGACTGGCCAGGCCCACTGTGTGATCCTGGTCGCCCATGGCTCCTGTCCTTTCGCAGAGCTCTTGGGGTCTGCCGGTAGCATTTTAAAGAGCTCTTGCAGCCGCGGGGCTGGGCCGTTCTCCTGGCTGTCCCGGGGGCCCGGCTTGTCCAGCGTTGCGCGCTGTCGTGCCCGTCCTTGACCCTTGCTGGCTGCTCCTAGCACACGCACAGCCTTGCCACCAAGAGTTGAGGTCTGCCCTGGCGGCGCCGGGCTGCAAAGGCTCTGAGGAGGCGGCGGCACTTGGAGAACCAGTGGGTGACCACCGGTTTTCTCCTTGAGGAGAAACTCAGCCCGGGAGCTCTGGCCCTGACTCCAGGTTGGACGCTGTGGCCACTGCTGTGGGGCCGAGGACAGTGGTGCAGTCCCTCCGACCCTCAGGTCCCCTGACTGTCAGATGGAGCTCCTCCGGGGAACATGGCCAGGGAATGTTCCTGGGGCCTCCCTGGCCCCAGCTCTGGGCGAGAACCGACAACACAGTTGGGGCCATGGCAGAGCCGCCCGCCCAGCTGCCACCTGACAGGTGACGGGGCTCGGCGACGGGGGCCTGTCCCAGTGATTCTTCTGTTCCTGCGCTTGCCCTTTCACCAGGCTGTCTCCAGAGAGAGCGGAGGGAAGTGGAGAAGCCACACCCCAGCTCGCGCGGCTTCCTCACCGGCTGACCTGCCAGTGTGTGAGGTGAATGAGGCCCTCCGCTCCATCTCTGCCTGTTCTCTGCTCTCCTAGGGAGCTCAGGCTGCGGAACTATGTCCCCGAGGATGAGGACCTGAAGAGGAGGAGGGTGCCCCAGGCCAAGCCAGTTGCCGGTAGGTGGGCTTCCTTGCTCCACCTCTGCTCGGAGGCACTGACGGATGCCTCCACCTCGGCAGGTGTCGCGCTCTCTTGGAGAGTAACCAGCCGCGCCAGGGCTGGAAGGTGGGCTTCTAGGACCCCCGGGCACCATCTCACAGCCATGCGGCAGTAACCCGTGTTGAGCGACTGCAGAGAGGCGGTCAGGGCACCTGAGGGCCTGCCAGGGGCCTGCGAGGGAAGAGGCCGCATCCCCCTGGAGGACCTCTCTGGGCGGAGGGGTGGAAGTGGCCCTGGGACGCTGGGACAGCAAGGGCCGGGGGAAGGGTGGGGAGGGTCCTGGGGGTCCGAGTGAGACCCTGAAGAGGAGCGGAGCGTTCAGGCACTCAGCGAGCCGTGGGCAGGCCGACGGCCGCCGGACACAGAGGACGGGAGCGGCGTTCCTGTTGGGGCGAGCAGCCGGGAGCTCCTAGAGCTGCTCCACACTGGAGACGCAGAGCACTTCTTATCCCGGAGACACCTGGCCCTGTTTAATTCTAAATGAATAGTCATTTATCTTGAAAATAGTAAAGTGTTACCCCTTCAGCCACACTCCAGTCTGCTTGCCCACGTTCTTTGCCCCGAGATTCACATGCTTTACAGGTGGCTTGTTTCATGGTGTGGGCCACCCTGTGGTGGGGATGGTGAGGCAGGCCAGGGGAGAGGGGCGGGGAGTGGTCCCGGGCCATGAGGCAGCACACGGCAACAGTGACGGGGTCACAGGAAGCTCCTGGAGGAGCTTAGCGCCTCCCCAGAGTGACTGTCCCCTGCTCTTGGGAGTACATATCTGAGTGGGATGGGAAGAAGAGCCACCTGTGTCCCGGCCATTCCATGGCCCAGAGGACATCCTCAGAGCCTAGAAGCCCCTGTAGAGTATGGGAAAGCCGGTCCTCGTGGTTCTTCACAAAACTGTACCGTGGCAATACCCGGGCGGTGCTCCCATTTCCCAGGGGAGTGTAGCAGCCGTGCGTCTGGCTGGAGGTCTGGGCTCTGTCTGTTCTAGCGGTCTGCCTCCTGCAGGCTCTCCTTTGCCCCAGGATTGTTTCATCCCGGGAAACCCAGGCCCTTTCTCCTGGGCAGCCTTTGCAGAGTCTTCGCCTCTGGAAGTTGGGAGCCCGGGAGAGGGGCCAAGAATGCCCAGGGTCTCCGCGGGGACCTGCCCGCACCCTCTCCCCCTCCCCCGGGCACCCCAGGGAGAGCGGGCCTCCTTTCCGACAGGCCTGTGTTGTTGTCTTGCACCCTCTAGTGGAAGAGAAGGTGAAGGAGCAGCTGGAGGCCGCCAAGCCCGAGCCCATCATTGAGGAAGTGGTGAGCACCCTGAGTGCCCCGGGGTGGCCCACTGGGGGCCCTTCTCTCCTCCCCCACACCCCCTCCTCCCTCCCTCCCATTCTCCTGCTTTCTACCCCTGTGCCCTTGAGCTGGGCCCCTCAAGCCCTGACATGCATCTCCTCCCTCCCCAGGACCTGGCCAACCTCGCGCCCCGGAAGCCTGACTGGTGAGCGCTGCCACGTAGGACTAGCGTGGACTGAGCGGCCAGTCGTGGTGCCGGGCACGGCCCTCAGGCTGAGCCTGTCCCGCCCTCACAGCAGGGAGACGGACAGTGTGGACGCGCAGCTACACGAGATAGTTACCGTTCACAGTACATCCTGACAGGACATAGAAGGACAGCGAGAGGGAAGCCTGTGGGGGGTGACGCCTGGAGGGCTCGGGGAGAGCGAGGAGCAGCCGTCTCCTCCAGAAGGCCCTTCTGCAAGGGCGAGGCTCCGGCCCACCTCAGCTGCATTTGAGCAAGGCCAGCCTTGGCCGTCAGGGAGCCACAGGATGGAGGCGAGGTGATGGGAAGGGCAGATGTTGATTCCTGTCCCGGTTCTGCCACCAACCGGCCTGTTCTGCTTTGGCCTCAGTTTTGTCTTCTGTGAAGTGGGGCTAATCTTCCTTCCCCAGTGTCTTATGACCAGGCTGATACAGAGGGTGAGAGAGGGCCATACGACCTGGGGCTGGTGTTGTCCTTGACCTCGGGCCAGAGGCGTGGGCCGCATCCCTCTCACCTGCGATCCTGTGGTAGGCACCGCGCCACTGAAGGTGTTCTTATTTGTTGAAACAAAAGCACGGGGCATACACCCTAGGAATCCCTGAATAGGGGGAGTAGGCTGTGTGTGCGCTTTTGGAAGTGCCTGGTGGCGAGGGGGAGCAGGACCCACAGTGGGACCAGACCAAGAGGGCAACTCTGAGAAACCATCCACCCTTGCACACCTTGACTCAGTCCCACGTTTGGTGGATCTGTGGCACCAGTCGCTGCCTCAGCAGGACGGGGCAGGTGGCTGATGCTGGTTTGGGAGGGTGCAGAGAGGGAGAGAGCAACACCCTGGTCTCCTCCCCAGGGTGGTCTCCTCAGGCAGCTGAGTGTGATTCCTAATGCCAGAGGGGCTTTGGGAGGGGAGGGTCCCAAGGCCACACCAAGCCAGCCTTTAGCTTCTGGCCACCTCGTACCTGCCCGCTACAGGGACCTCAAGAGAGACGTAGCCAAGAAGCTGGAGAAGCTAGAAAAGCGGACCCAGAGGGCCATCGCCGAGTTGATCCGTAAGTACAGGGCCTAGCAAGGTGGGGTCCTTGCCCTCTGGGTGGTGGCCCAAGCACAGGGCCCCTCCCCACTCCTTCTGTCTGCCATCCATCCAGGTGAGAGGCTGAAAGGCCAGGAGGACAGCCTGGCCTCTGCAGTGGACGCTACCACCGAGCAAGAGGCCTGTGACTCCGACTGAGGCACGCCATATCCCAGGCCTGGCCTGTGGGCGGGTAGCCTTGGGTAGGGATGGGGGCCGGGCTTGCTGTTACCTCCAGTTTGGCTTCAGAGCCACATTGCCTCATCAGTCCAAAACCCTTGCCATGGGGTGAGGTCAGCTCCTTGTTTCCTAATGGTGCCCACCAGACCGAGGGGCAGAGCCAATAGCAACCCTGTGGGTTTGCTGTGTCTCTACATATGTGTGTATTTGGAACTTTCTTTTCTCTCTAGAAATAGAAGCAAGCGGACCCACGTGTGTGGCAGAAACCTATTAAATATTTTCTCGGTCGTTGGGGCGCTGTGGGTTTGGGCCCCAAGGCAGGAGTAAGCCGTGTGTGGGGCCAGGCATATTGAGGCTGGAGGGGTGCAGAAGGCCCAGGCCTGACCTTTTGAGGCCAGGTCCTGGTCCAGTCAGGCGGTCATGTCAAAACCTGTGGGTGACAGAGAGTCTGGGAGGCTTCTGTAAGCCCTCCCACGGGCCCGGACCTTGCAGGAGTGTCTGGTCAGCCTGGAGAGGCTCCCAGCCTGGTCCTCTGTGGATCCCCTCACAGTGTGAGAGAGAGAAGGGAGAGGCTGGGCGTGAGGAGGGGGTGAGCTGTGCCCTGGCAAGCCTCCATCCCAGGCCACTCTGGACCAAGGCTCCTGGCACTGTTGTGTCCCCCTCTCACAACCCCCGGTGGCCCCTGTCCCTATGTCACAGAGCTAGACCATGGCTTCCCTGGGACAGGGCCCCTGCATTGGGGAGGGTGGCTCCTATAGACTAGGGTATTATAGCCTGGGTTTGGGGTGTGGTCTTGGGCCCTGGGTCCCCAAGGTCCTGGCATTAGGACCATGAGCCTCCTCTGTGGGGCTGACTCTCCAGAGTGACTGACCGGCCACAGCTCTGACTCCAGGTCCCTGTGGCCGACTAGAATTTCATCTCCGAAGTGGTACCACGCTTGAGTTGCCTTCAGGGTCTCCCCTTGAGTCTCCCACCCCAACCCTGTGTCATCCCAGTGCGCCCTTCCCTCTGTGCTGAGTTGGAGGAACACATTGGCCTGACTCTGGTGGACGGTGCGGAGGCCCCAGGCCAGAGGGCTGGAGCGAGTGCGTGCGACACCAGCACGCTCATACGATACAGCAAGTGCTTTCAGCTGGAAGTACGCAGCTACCTGAGAAGGTTGACTGCTGCAGGAAGGGAGCAGGCGTGACTGAGGGCCAAAGTGGTAGGTGGCTGGCTGAGCAGCGGTCAGGCCCAGGACTCTGGTTCCCACGGGAGCAGGGGTCACACATGCCCACGGGCGACAAGGCCGGAGCCAGACTCCCTCTGCATCATGGCGTCTGGGACTGGCCTTCCCTTCCTGGGAATAAAGGACGAGGAGGTGCCCCCCGCCTTGGGACTGCCGTAGGAAGCAGGGTGCTTGTCCGCAGCAGTGTAGGCCGCCGGCGACATTCCCACTCCGCACCGGCGCTGGGACTAGCTTGTGGCCGGCCCCACAGAATGGGAGCCCCGAGAGCTGAGGAAAGGTTTGCTTCCTGCGTTGACAGCTCCGTGTGCCTACAGAAAACCACCGTGCAGGGAGAGAGCAAAACCAACAGCATCACTCACGATGGGCATGCAAACAAAAGTTAGAAAATACGTGAGGAGATCCATGCCTTGAAGAAGGGCTACTACCCCACCAGGTGGAAGAATTGAAACCCAAGGAAACTGAAACCATGACATCCTACCAGGCTTTAAAATAAGCCTTTGTTTTCTCACCAGAGAAGTAAAAGAGGCACTGAACCCCAAAACTCAGGAACGGGGATTAGGTATGAGGAAGACCTGGTTAGTAATCTTGGAAACAATGTTTATTAAAATAAGCAACACACACAGAACATAAGCAGCTCCCTTGAGGAGCTAAATACTAAGTGTCAAAGAAGGGATTGATCAATTGGAAGTTAAAGCTGAAGCCCCAAAAGACGACAGAGAGAGAGGGTAGGTTGCAAAGCTGACAGACTGCCAGGTGTCCTTGAGCGGATGGGAGATCAGGAAAAGAAAACTGGAGAAAGAAGGAATGGCTGACCACTTCTGTCTGTGGTATCATGGGACCACAGCAGCCTGAACTGATCCTCCCTTGGCAAATAGCTAAAAATACTAGGTAAATAAATAGTTACAACAAATACTTTTTAAATGCCTCACTGACCAGGCAAGAAAGTAAGGAACACTCAAGCAAAAAGGTAGGAGAAGCAGAATGCTGGAGCCCGACCTTTGACTTGAAGGTATTTGACAAACGAGGTAAAACTGAGCATTGGTTTTTGGGGTCCTCGGTGCCTGGGGCTAAGATAACCCAGTACCCGTGCATGATGAGGGGCCTGGTACGAGAACCCTCCAGAAGGCTGGGGCTGCAAAGGTCAGGGCCCTCTGTGAGCTAATAATAGATCTGCTCCCTTGGCATCGCAGAGAAAAACTGAACCTTGCCATTGACTGGAGTGAAGGAAGGTCTCCCTTGAGAACTGAGCCGGCCCCCATATGGGTTTGCACATGAGAAACCTCAAGCCAGGAGTATAAGTGGTCCCAGAAAGGGGTGGTCTCAGATGCTTGATAGAAATGCAGATCCTAGGGGTGCCTGGGTGGCTCAGTTGGTTAAGCGACTGCCTTCAGCTCAGGTCATGATCCCCGGGTCCTGGGATCAAGCCCCACATCGGGCTCCCTGCTCAGCGGGCAACCTGCTTCTTCTTGTGCCTCTGCCTCTCCCCCTGCGTGTGCTCTCCTGCTCTCTCTCTGTCAAATAAAGAAAATCTTAAAAAAAAAAATGCAGATCCTACCTGAATGAACCTTGATTCATCACAGTCCTCGATGAAGCCCCATTGATAAAGTTCCAAGAAAAGTGAGCAGCTTCTGGGAAAGGTCACCAGATCTACGAGGCAGCAAGGCACCGAGAGCAAAGGACATTGGCAGGGACATGGTAGACTTGCAAAGGATTCATACATTAGGATTACCAGGCACATGATTTAAATGTTGAAAAATGATGTAAGAACTAAAAGGCTTGAAAATAGGAATCGATTTGCCAAAAAAACCAAAGTGATGTTCTGGAAATAAAAACTATCATAGCAGTTAGAGGCCCTGGATCTGTGAAGTAGAGCTAAAGAAACAGTTCGTGAATGGGAAGCTAGGCCCGAAGAGGTTCTCCAGAATGCAGCCCAGCAAGATAAACAGACCGATAACCTAAAACAAGAAGCTTAGAGATACAGAGGATAGAGTGAGAAGAGCCAACAACATGATTGGAGTTCCAGGAGGGAAAAAAGGCAGAAATGAAGCGGACCTAATATATTTTTTTTTAATGGTTGAGAGCAACTCTTCAGAATCACCAATCCACAGATGCAAGGAGGTCAGCAAATCTCAAGCAAGGCAACAAAAAGAAATCAACACTCAGATGTTCCATCTCTTGGTATGGATGGTGATTAGTTAGGTATATGCAGTTTTTGACTGTTCATTGACCCCCACACATCTGACTTGTGCACTTTTTGTATGTTTATTACACCTCAGTAAGCAAGTTCACTTTAAACTTTTTCATATCTTGCCTTAATCGTCAATTACTGTATTCACATTCCATACAAAACTCAGTGGCTTGAAACAGACCTTTAAATCAGACCGTTTTCTGTGGGTCAGGGATGCAGGTTACCTGGGCAGTTCTAGTTTGGGGTCTCTGAGATTGCAGTTAAGATGTCCCCCAGGGCTGCAGTCATCTGGAGGCTTGGCTGGGGCTGGTAGATGTGCTTCTGGGATGCCCTACACCCCCGGGAAGGCTCATGGAAGCACGGCGTGCGCACAGTCCTTGCCACATGGCTCTCTCCATAAGGCTTGCGTGAGTGTATGTGTGTTTGTGTGCGCACTGTGGCAACTGGCTTTCCCCAGAATGAGTCATCCAAGACAGAAAGCAGGGGGAAGCTTTACAGCCTTTTATGACCCGGGCTTGGAAGTGATACTCTGCCACGTTATATTGTTAGAAGCAAGTCACAACATCCAGGCTACGTTCAAAGGAGAATTAGGTTCTACCTCTGGAAGGGAGGTCTAAGAATTTGTGGGTGTTATTTTAAAACCACCGCATACCTAGACAATTAAGTGCAATAAGTTGGCAGAAAAAAGAGCAAGAAAAGATGTTAAAATTAGAAAAGATACATTAGCTTTTAAGGAGCAAGACAGCAGATGTCTCAGCCACAGCCAGTGTTATCGGGCACGATCCCTTCTGGTACCAGCGTTAACTAGACGAGAGGAAATTGTCAACTTAAAATTCTATACCCAGAGAATATATCTTACAAGATATTTTTAGACAAGCAAACTCGAGATTTTGTCACCAGCAGACTCACATGAAAAGAAAGTCTATTTGGGGGTAATGAAAATATTCTACAGTGGATTGTGGTGGTGGTTGCACAAATCTATGAATATGCCAAAAGCTGTTGAATTGTACACTTGCAGTGGGCAAAGTGTATGAAATGTATGTTATATCTCAATAAAGCTGTTTAAAAAACATGAAATAAACCTTCTCCTTTAAAAAAAGAAAAAGCTCTATGTCTTAAGATTGGAATGAGACATGATTCCAGATAGAGAATCTGAGATATAAGTAGGAATGAAGAGAAAGAAAGTGAAATCTAAATAGGTATTGACCTTATGAAATGAAAATATTCTATGGAGTAGAAGTAAGACTAGGGTTATTAAAGTATGTAACAATAGTAGTAGTTACACACTCTTGCCCGAGGTGAGACGTGGTCAGGATTATAGCCCTCTACGAAGCTCAGCTCACTCGGGAAGAGAGAAAAGACTCAGTCTAGACTCTAGACCCTGCTCCACAGGCAGGCGGACATTTCTAGGGTAGCCCTAACAGAATAGAAACAGTGTACCACTTCCAAAGCAGTTAAAAAAAATAAAATGAATGAAAAAAAAATTACCCAAAAGAAGGTAGAGAAAAAGAGAAAAGGTAAGGCAAGTAAATGAATCCAAATACATCATTAATTACAATCAGC